AAAAAAAAAAAAAAAAATATATATATATATAAATATATATATATATATATATATCGGGTTAAGTAGTGAGGTAAGAAAAATCTACTTTATTCAAAAGGAAAACAAGTTTATTTTTCTAACCGCATTGGCAGACATTTTTCTTGTTTTACCTCATTTCATTTTGATTAATTTCTCCGAAATTAAATGTAACATCTTTGCATGAGATGTGAAATCAAATATTTTCTCATAGACAAGGTCTGTTGTCCAGAAACTCACATAAAGAGCAGTCTGGTCCAGTCCATCCGGCGGGACAGAGGCACAAACCATCCTGGTGATGACATGTCGCATTGTTGGTGCACATGCACACATTGCTACAATGGCGTCCATGCCGACCCATTGGGCAGGCTAGAAGTTAAACAAAAACAGCAATTAAATGATTTATACACGCATTAAAATAGAGCATTATACTGTAGACAATTTGCTGCTATGGAAGTTATAGGTTTAAAGGGATAATTCACACAAAAATGATCATTCTGACATTACTTACCTTCAGGTTGTTTCAAACTTGTATGCTGTTATTTTTCAGTGAATAATGACTTAAATGGTCAACTTTTATGGTGTTTTTAGCCTGTGGTCACTATGAACAATCATTGTATGGAAAAACTGCTTCAAAATTCTCCATTTGTGTTTGATTTTTAGTTAGGAATTGATTTTTATTAATTTGGAAATAATAGCTATTTATTTATCTATGACCAATTTCTTTAAGTAAGTCTTTGCATGGGTGTATCTAACCTTGTTCACACAGGTGTCCGGTATATCCAGGCAGACACAGACAATCGCCTGCTATGTGATGACAGGAGGAGGCATGTACACATTGTGGACACTGACGGCTGCACCTCTCTCCAAAGAGACCAGCACTACACACTATAGAGAAGAGAAGAGAGCAGTCTAAACCAGCTCTAATGTGACCTGAGCTCTCAGAGACGTTGATGGATGAACAGGTATATACAGTATATATATATATATATACTCACTGTGTTGACACTGAGCTCCCCAGAATCCGGGTTTGCACAGGCAGGTTCCCGTATGTGCCTGACAGGTGGCGCTGTTGAGGCAGGAGCAGGTCTGGTTGCACTGAAGGCCCCAGGTTCCCTCTGGACACTGCTGTGTACAGCGCAGACCTGCAGAAAAAATTCGATGAGTTGCCTAAACTGTCATGTGTTGTTTGAGGTCTAGTGCCCTATTTTTACTTGGGGGGGGGGGGGGGGTATGTATATCTCAAAAAAATTATCATGGTTTTTCATTGTGCATTCCAATTAATCTCCATCAAACTGCAGTTGGGTTATTTTGATTAAGTTAAAAATAACTAAAAATTACAGCTAGCTAACACAATAAAAACATGATTACATAATAAAAAGCTTTTGTAACAATATACACTATACCATTCAAAAGCTTGGAGTCAGTATTTTTGTTTGTGTGTGTGTTTCTTTTTTTTTGGGGGGGGGGGGGGGGAATCTAAGTTTCAACAGATTCACACTGGATTTTTCTAGTTTTTTAACGAGATATCTCTCAGCTTCAGATATAATTTTTATGACTCTCTGACTGGTGTACATACTGTAGAGATTTCAAAATTATTATTATTATATGCATCACTTGAATCTCAAACATAAAAATCAAGTCAAGCTCATCAGATAATGAGGGGATTAATATAATATAATATGTAGGGTTTAATATTAATAATATTCTAATATAATAGTAAAATAAAGGTCTACACTGCATTATGAGTGATATCAATGGAGAGGAATAATTAAATATGCACAGAATGGCACACTACTCATACTATCTTTGTAGTATGCAATATCTAAACCATTCACACAGTATGCACATTTTCTATAGGTATGCAAACTTGACATACACATTTGCTGATATAGACCAGTTCATACTGCACAGAATACTGTATCCCATAATGCAATGCGCTTGGCTCATCCTTCTATTTCCTGAGTGACTGAGTGCTTCACTCATTATTTGATCAGCCAGAAGCTGCTTCTGCTTTAAACATTTATCACTTCATACTGTATACTGTTTTTGCATATTGAATAAAGTCCTACCTGTCCAGCCAGGTAAACACAGACACTGGCCTGTAACACTCTCACATCCTTCATCATGCAGACAGTCACATTTGTGTTGACAGCCTGGGCCGAATGTCCCGATCTGTTTAAACATGAATGGAAATATTGATTCAGAACGATCAAATAACTCTGAAATTATACAGCTCTAACATAATTACTACTTTAATTTGAATGACGGCCATGCAACATGTACTCTAAGCAAAAGAGTGTTATGCATTTGCCATCAGGTTAATAACTTTTGCTGATGGTGTAAAATTACTGCAGATGATTCAGGTGACAGATATGCTGAACAGACAACAACACAGATGTCAAATTCAGTTCATAGGAGAAAAAAAGTGTGACTAAAAATGAATGACCTGCATCTTCTGAACTGGTTTTTGTAAATCAAATACATGTGCACTGTAGATATTTGACTTACTGGACAGGTCTCGTCACAGGAAGCTCCTCTCCACCCTGCGGTGCACTTGCAAGAACCATCAGCAGGGTGGCAGGATGCCCCATTAATACACTGACATGTGAAGTTGCAGCCAGGACCCCATGTGCCCTCTGAACATGCGATAGAACAGTCAAGTCCTCTCCACCCTAAACACACACGCACAAAGACACTGTTGGGGTGGCATAGATAGATAGATTCATTCTTGAAATAATTAGTTCATTCTTTCTTTTAATGTGTACCAGAACTTACCTTCCTTACAGAAACATGTTCCATCGATAGGAGAGCAGGCTATAGAGTTTACACAGGTACATGCAGACAAGCAGCCCCTCCCGTAGAAACCATCCGCACAAAGCTTCTCGCAGTGTAGTCCCTACACACACACAGGAATATTAATGTGGAATATTATGTGGTATTGAGGAAGTTATTTTGTTTGTGATCATATCTGTCCACTCACTGTGTATCCGGGAGAACAGTGGCACTGGCCTGTCACCGTGTCACACACCCCTCCGTTCACACAGAGACAGGGCTCCAGGCATCCGTTACCATAATAACCACCAGCACAGGTTTCATTACAATATAGCCCCGCCCACCCAGGCTGACAGGTACACTCCCCCTTCAGAGGATGGCAGCTGTAATATCCATGACACAATCAATATATACAATTTCTCAAGCTAATCTTTTTTTGTTATCAAACAGCATTTGGTTAATAGAATGATCAGCTGATTGGTCAACCCAAATAGTTTGTCTTTGTTCTCAGTGATGTTATCATTAACTACACCTATTAAATACATTAAAAATAAATATTAAAATTAATAAGATTAATAAGTTTGTTAATGGAAATATAGCTGAAATAAAATATAAATATCAGATGAAAAACTTAAAGGGATAGTTCACCCAAAAATGAAAAATCTGTCATTATTACTCACCCTCACGTCGTTCCAAACCCGGAAGACCTTCGTTCATCTTCGGAACACAAATTAAGATATTTTTGATGAAATCTGAGAGCTCTCTGACCCTGCATAAACAGCAACGCAACTGAAATGTTCCCAGGTCTAGAAAGGTAGTAAGGGCATTGGTAAAACAGTCCATGTGACATCAGTGAATCAACTTCAGTTTGGCGAATCTACGAGAATACGTTTTGTGTGTGAAGAAAACAAATTCAAATTCTTCTCCCCTGCGTCACCGTCTTCCGCCATTTTGAGAGTACCACGGCACATGCTCGGCGCTTTCCAATGAATGCAAACAACAATAAATTGTTATTTTAGTTTTCTTTGCGCAAAAAAAGTATTAATGTAGCCTCGCAAAATTGAAGTTGAGCCTTCAATGCTGGATTGGAATGATGTCCGATGTCCTTACTACATTTCTGGCTCTGGGAACATTTCAGTTGCGTTGCTGTCTATGCAGAGAGCTCTCAGATTTCATCAAAAATATCTCAACTTGTGTTCCGAAGATGAACAAAGGTCTTACAGGTTTGTAACGACATTCGGGTGAGTAATTAATGACAGAATTTTTATTTTTGGGGTGAACAATCCCTTTAAATGAAAAATAGAAAATGAGTTGCCTCGGCAATGAACTGAAATAAGATTAAGTACTAATATTGCTAACTGACAATTAAACTGTAAAAAAATTAATTAAAACTGTATAGAAAAATGACTATTAAACTAAAATTAAAATAAAAACATTAAAATAAAAGCCAATTCTAAATTTTAATAGAAACTACAATAGTACATAAATAATATTAAAGTAACACTGGTTCTGAGAACAAAAGGCATGTAATTTTCTCTTGTGTTCTTGTAGCTGTAGTTGTGTTCACACTGTGGCAAATCAAAGTTAACAATCCCTTTAAATGAAAAATAGAAAATGAGTTGCCTCGGCAATGAACTGAAATAAGATTAAGTACTAATATTGCTAACTGACAATTAAACTGTAAAAAAATTAATTAAAACTGTATAGAAAAATGACTATTAAACTAAAATTAAAATAAAAACATTAAAATAAAAGCCAATTCAAAATTTTAATAGAAACTACAATAGTACATAAATAATATTAAAGTAACACTGGTTCTGAGAACAAAAGGCATGTAATTTTCTCTTGTGTTCTTGTAGCTGTAGTTGTGTTCACACTGTGGCAAATCAAAGTTAGTGATCATCAGTAACAGACATGGAAGCACACAGCACACCTGAGAGTGTTTTGTGAGTAGCAGAGGCAGCGGTGTTCGCAGTGCATGCCGTAGGTCCCGTCAGGACACATCCTGTGATCACAGCGTGGACCCTTAAACCCCGGCTCACACAGACACCCACCGTGGATGTTATAGCACCGGGCTCCGTTAGCACAGTCACACACACCCTTACAGTCCTCACCGTATGTACCCACCGGACACTCCTCGTTACACCTTCACAAGAGACACACATGCTCACTCAAGAGGGAATCATCCAGTATAACCATGCTGCTCAAATAACTATCAGAGGCTTTACTGTAGATTTCAGACTTTTTCAAGATTCTACAAATCCATAATTACATTATGGCCAACTACAAACAATAAGTTGTCACACAAAAGCAAACAGTTTCTTAACTGGTGGGTTGTGACCCGAAAACAAGTGTCAAGTCTGTTCTGATAGGACTGCAGATAGTAGAGAAAAATCCAGCAAAATGCAAATCTTAAAATGATGCAGACCTTTCTCCAGTGTAGCCTGCATCACACTGACATTGGCCTTTTTCTGGATCACAGTGGCCTCCATTATGGCACAAACATTCTTTAGCACAGTTTGGACCAAAACGGCCTGGTGGACACTGCTCAGTACACACTGCACCCTGAAACGGAGAGAGAGAGGCTAAAAATGGATGTTCAACAAAGAATAAATAAACAAACAAAAAAAACCCACAGCCAATACACAGATTTCTCACCATCCAGCCAGGAGGACACAAACACACCCCTCTCCCCTGGCAGATGCCTCCATTCTGACATGGGCAGCGTGCAGGACAGCGGCTCGGTCGCATGCATGGCTCCTCGCACCTGAGCGACAGACACGTGGGGTGCACAGTGAAAATCTGATTCAAAATTCATTTCAAACATGGACAGACCATGATAATGTTTTAGGACTGTAAAAATGTAAAACCACAAAAATATAGTGTAAAATGATTAAGGAATATTTCAGATGCACAATTTTTTGGCCACTAACCAAATAAGTAAATTTTTTACAATGACCATGTGAACTCTTTTGTACAAAAAGTCAAATTCTGAAGATTTCTGAAATACATTTTTCAATTCATGCTGGTCATTTAATTTGTAATGGAAAGAAAATTCAGTCTGAATATTA